AAAAACCAAATGAAAAAAGGAATTTGCGTTGGCCGGGAATCGAACCCGGGTCAACTGCTTGGAAGGCAGCTATGCTCACCACTATACCACCAACGCGAACTGTGCAAACGTTTGGCGAAGCGTTCTACATAAAGGAGATTTTGCAACGCTCGGTTGCACGTAATTAAAAAATACGAGGGGACACGGGTTGACCCGGGGGTGGGGGGAGAAGAGACCCGACGTGCTGCTTTTCTTCCGTGTCCGTACCCGGGCAAAGCTTTTTGTCCGCTCAGCAAAAGCCACGGGGAAGAAAACCATCTGGCAGCGGTGGGATTCGAACCCACGCCCCCGGAGGGACTGGAGCCTAAATCCAGCGCCTTAGACCGCTCGGCCACGCTACCTCCGCTGGGGGCCAGTGGGAAGCGAAGCACAGACATTTTTAAGAGCGCAAATGGGGAGGCGGGGGGAAAGAGGTGGCAGTGCCTTATGGGGCTGGGTCTCCCCGCAGCCGCGGGGGGAGGGGGTGTCCGCCTGCAGGGGGGGCAGCCCCCCAATTAAAGGGGTCGAAGTTGACGCCCCCCCTAAGAATGGAAGCTGATTGCAAGTGGGGAAGGGGCGTGGACCCTCCTCCCCAGCTGAGCCCCCCCCCACCCAAGTCACAGATCTCCATCCAGGGCAGCTTTCCCGGAGTGGAGCCTGGATGCCGGCTGGGAACGATGGGGCCTGGAGTCCCACCCGTCCGGGAAGCAGCCAGGCGAAGGGGTACAAGCCCGTTTGGGGGACCCTCCCCCACCCCTCCCGACGCCCAGCGCTGGAGCCTTGAAGCCCCTACAGCTGATCCAACAATAATAATAAAGTTGGGAGGGACCTTAGAGGTCATCTAGTCCAACCCCCTGCTCAGGCAGGCAACCCTACACCATTTCGGACAAATGGCTGTCCAGTCTCTTCTTAAAAACTTCCAGTGTTGGAGCATTCACGGCGTCTGGAGGCAGGTACGGACCGGGAATGATGGGAGTTGGAGTCCCACCTGTCCGAGAAGCCGGCAGGTAAAGGGGTACCGCTGCTCTACCGATCGGGCCCGATCCCGGAATCCGCCGATCTCAGCCCAACGTTGGGAGTTTCGCCCCACCCTGGGTCCCCGCTGGGAATGATGGGGCTTGGAGTGCCACCCCTCCAGGAAGCCGGCAGGCAAATGGGGCCAAATCCCAGGGCACGGCAAGGGGGAAGGTAGACTGTGCTTATCCGGGGAGGCTCTGCGGAGGGCTACCTCTCCCCGCCCCGCAGTTTGCCCCGAGCTGGAGCTTTTCATGCGGGCCGGGGATGATGGGGGCTGGAGTCCGACCCAACCGGGAAGCCTCTCTGTCCGGACATGGGCCGTGCCCAGCGGGAGGGAGCAAGAAGATGACCCGGAGACGAGTAGCATCAGCTGGCAAGTAGGCTAGACTGCAAGGTAGACTGCTCCTGACCGAGGAGGCTCTGCGGAGGGCTGCCTCCCGCTCGCCGCCCGTCCGGAGTCCCTGGCTGGCTCTCCCCCTGGCCTAGCCCCACGGTTTCCCCAAGCTGGGAACTTGGAGGCGGGGGCTGCGGACGATGGGCTCTGCAGTCCGAGCCCACCGGGAAGCCTCTCTCTTGCGGCGAGGGGGGAAGAGCAGGAAGCAGCCCCCGCAGGCTACCTTGGAAAGTTCGCCTTGCCAAGGTAGACTGCGCCTGTCCGAGGAGGCTGCGGACGATGGGCTCTGCAGTCCGAGCCCACCGGGAGCCTCTCTCTTTGGGGGGGGAATGAGCAGGAAGCAGCCCCCCCGCAGGCCGGCTTGGAAAGTGCGCCTGTCCGGGGAGGCTGCGGACCATGGGCTCTGCAGTCCGAGCCCACCGGGAAGCCTCTCTCTTGCGGGGGGGGGGGAAGAGCAGGAAGCAGCCCCCGCAGGCTACCTTGGAAAGTTACCCTTGCCAAGGTAGACTGCGCCTGTCCGGGGAGGCTGCGGACCATGAGCTCTGCAGTCCGAGCCCACCGGGAATTCTCTCTCTTGCTGGGGGGGGAGAAAGCAGGAAGCAGCCCCCTCAAGCTGGCTTGGAAAGTTCGCCTCGCCAAGGTAGACTGCGCCTGTCCGGCGAGGCTGCGGACGATGGGCTCTGCAGTCCGAGCTCCAACCGGGAAGCTTCTCTCTTGCGGGGAGGGGGGAAAGAGCAGGCAGCAGCCCCCCCCCCCGCAGGCCGGCTTGGAAAGTTCGCCTCGCCCAGGTAGACTGCGCCTGTCCGGGGAGGCTGCGGACCATGGGCTCTGCAGTCCGAGCCCCAACCGGGAAGCCTCTCTCTTGCGGGGAGGGGGGAAAGAGCAGGCAGCAGCCCCCCCCGCAGGCCGGCTTGGAAAGTTCGCCTTGCCAAGTTAGACTGCGCCTGTGCGGGGAGGCTGCGGACCATGGGCTCTGCAATCCGAGCTCACCGGGAAGCCTCTCTCTTGCGGGGAGGGGGGAAAGAGCAGGAAGCAGCCCCCCCTGCAGGCCGGCTTGGAAAGTTCGCCTCGCCAAGATAGACTGCGCCCGTCCCGGGAGGCTGCGGACCATGGGCTCTGCAGTCCGAGCCCCAACCGGGAAGCCTCTTTCTTGCGGGGGGGGAGGCAGGAAGCAGCCCCCCCGCAGGCTACCATGGAAAGTTCGCCTTGCCAAGATAGACTGCGCTTGTCCGGCGAGGCTGCGGACGATGGGCTCTGCAGTCCGAGCCCCAACCGGGAAGCTTCTCTCTTGCGGGGAGGGGGGAAAGAGCAGGCAGCAGCCCCCCGCAGGCTACCTTGGAAAGTTCGCCTTGCCAAGGTAGACTGCGCCTGTCCGAGGAGGCTGCGGACGATGGGCTCTGGAGTCCGAGCCCCAACCGGGAAGCTTCTCTCTTGCGGGGAGGGGGGAAAGAGCAGGCAGCAGCCCCCGCAGGCTACCTTGGAAAGTTCGCCTTGCCAAGGTAGACTGCGCCTGTCCGAGGAGGCTGCGGACGATGGGCTCTGGAGTCCGAGCCCAGTGGGAAGCCTCTCTCTTGCGGGGGGGGGAGGCAGGAAGCAGCCCCCCCGCAGGCTACCATGGAAAGTTCGCCTTGCCAAGATAGACTGCGATTGTCCGGGGAGGCTGCGGACCATGGGCTCTGCAGTCCGAGCCCCAACCGGGAAGCTTCTCTCTTGCGGGGAGGGGGGAAAGAGCAGGAAGCAGCCCCCCGCAGGCCGGCTTGGAAAGTTCGCCTCGCCAGGGTAGACTGCGCCTGTCCGAGGAGGCTGCGGACCATGGGCTCTGCAGTCCGAGCTCCAACCGGGAAGCTTCTCTCTTGCGGAGAGGGGGGGGGAAAAGAGCAGGCAGCAGCCCTCCCCCCCCCGCAGGCCGGCTTGGAAAGTTCGCCTGGCCAAGATAGACTGCGCCTGTCCGGCGAGGCTGCGGACGATGGGCTCTGGAGTCCGAGCCCCAACCGGGAAGCCTCTCTCTTGCGGGGAGGGGAGGGGGGGGAAAAGCAGGCAGCTGCCCTCCCCCCCCCCGCAGGCCGGCTTGGAAAGTTCCCCTGGCCAAGGTAGACTGCGCCTGTCCGGCGAGGCTGCGGACGATGGGCTCTGGAGTCCGAGCCCCAACCGGGAAGCCTCTCTCTTGCGGGGAGGGGAGGGGGGGGAAAAGCAGGCAGCAGCCCTCCCCCCCCCCGCAGGCCGGCTTGGAAAGTTCCCCTGGCCAAGGTAGACTGCGCCTGTCCGGGGAGGCTCTGCGCTGGTCCCGGGCTCTTCCCCCCGCCCAGCCCCTCCGGCGGGCGTTGCCTGCCCCGCAGTTCCCGGGCTGCGCCTCTCCAGGCACCCGGGCGCTCTCTGCAGCTGCTGGCGGCCGGCCGAGCGCGGCTTCCCCTGGGCGGCCTCGCTTCCTCCTCCTCCGCCTCCGCCGCCGCCTCCGCCTGCTTCGCCTCCGGCCCCTCCGCCTCCCGCTCCGGCCGGCTGCAGAGCGCCTCGGTCGGTCAGGCCGGCCATGGGCAGGCGCCGCCGGGCACGGGAGCCGCCCGCCCGGCCGCCGCCGCTGCTGCTGGCGCTGGCGCTGGCCTCCTTCTCGGCGCTGCTGCTCGCCTCGCTCAGCCTCCTGCTGGCCGCCTGGCCCCGCCACGCCGCCGGACCCGGCCGGCCGGACC